ACCTTTTGACCTTGGTCATATACCCGGTTTTGATCGCTGCGCCCTGTTTTGCACTCACTGTAGTTAACTCTACTGACTGCGTTACAGGGGACTGGTACCACAACAAATTTTTCAGGAACTTGCACTACAGGCAGGTATTTGTCTGCCACTGCTCTTCGCTGATTTTTTGGTCAGGAGCCCCAGCTCCATAATCCTGGGTGTTTGGTACACAGTACAAGATCAATTCCCTGGTTCTGCGCTGGCCATACAGCGGGTGATTACAACAATTTTCTTTGGGCAATCCTGGAATCTTTTTTGTGCCTTCACCTCTATAAACTGGTTCTGCGCTGGCCGTACAGCGGTTTTTGATTTCAATTTTCATTGGGGGTGAGCTCCCCGTACAATCTGCCTGGCTCTGTTTGTCCGTGAATGATTTTTGTGCTACACTTCATTGCTGCAATTCAGATCGTTTTCACCTTGCTGACCAACTACGTGCAAAGACATCCGATAATTTTGTGTGAAGCTGGCAGTGAACACGGCAACGCCTTCTCAGCGGCGTTCCCAGCGACGTGGACGAGCCAACGCAAGGCTCCTCTGGCACTTACACAAAAAGAGGATTCAGATCCTTCCCAAGTGGAAACTGCTACAGTTGGTGAGCAAGCTCCAAGGTCACCACTCCAAGGATACAGCCTTCATCAATCGAATCCACAGAGAGATCATGACAGATGCAGAAGGTCCCTGGCGATGCCAAACATGCAAGAAGATTTGCAGTGCAACGCATCAATGGATTTCATGGCGACCCATCCTACCAGCCACCGCAGAGACAGACCAGATCGCAACGCTCAGTTCAATGGAGCTATGCAAATCAATGGACCGACCAAGATTGGGAGGATCCTCAATGGGATCCACAACAATCCGATCAATCTCAATGGACAGCGTCCCCAAGAAGGCGTACCTCGTCGAGAAGACGGCCATCAAAGAAAGCGACCAAAAAAGCTGCAGAGACGCCCAAAGGGGCAAAAGGCAAAGGCAAGAATGCAAGCGTGGACCAAGACAGAATTGGCCCGCCCCCATTGCCTGCCAACCCGGTGGATCCACCATGGCTGCAATCGATGAGCTCCATCGCTGCGACTATGCCACCTCCGATACAGCAAAATGCGGAGGACAAACAGTTGAAGAGCCTTATGGCAGTTTTGAAAAAGCACAGCGACACGCTGCCACCGGAAGTCCAGAACATGGTGAACGAAGCTGCAATCAAAGAAGGACAGCAACAGACCAAGCAACTCCACGCGGTGGTCGCAGCCCATGGACGAGCTCGCAAAGAGCTGCAACAAGCTCAATTGGCACGCTTTCAGCTTCACAACGCTTGGAGGGGATTTCTCAGCCAAGCTGTCACTCAGTGGCAGGGCTACAGTGCACAATTCCTGGAACAAGAAAAACAGATGAACGAGCGTGTCAATACAGCAATGGAAGCTTTGAACCAAGCAAAAGAAAGCCTGGCCAAAGCCAAGTCCACGGCCGGAGTCGAAGCCAAAGAAGACACCATGGCCATCAGCGACGAAGAGCCAGACAAGGAGATCGCAGGCTCCACAGCCGATCGCATCCAAGAAGGCCTCACCAATTTGCAGTCCAGCCTCGAGGCGCTACAAACCTCAGCCGAGCAGATGGTGGAGGACGAACAAAAGGCCCTCAAGCGACCACGCCTAGACACGGGTCAGCTGGACTCAGCAAAGCCGTCCGAGTTGCCTGGTGCTGCATCGGGTTTTGGTTAGGCCGAGTGAATACAGATCAGGTTTCTATTGCTCCAAGGCCTTTTATCCATACAACAGATGTTCACCATCTAGTTCCCAAATGGACGCACACAGTTCTACATGAACGCAGTTTTGTTTCAGAGTGGCAAGCACAAGATGCAGCGTTTCACTTGGCGCATGAAGTGAGCATTTTGCCACTCCAGTGCCACCCAGTTTTGTCCGAACCATCGTCACCAGCAGATGCCATGTCGACTCAGTTTCACCCGATTTTGTCTTGCAAGGGTTCAGTTGCTGCCTCCCCATGTGACGATACCCCCATGAAAGCCACACTAAGGAAATGTGTTACATTTTCCGAGGTCCTCTGCATTAGGATAGGCGAAGACACTTCCTTTGCTTTTCAGGACTTTTGGACTCATGTTGATGCCTTGATTTCAGTTTTGAAACCTTGGACCATGGACACACAGCAAGAACTGGATGGATCAACCGACTATGGCCCAGCCCGTAAGACCATAGTACCAGGCAACAGGCTGCAACAAGTATTCAGGCAACATGAACCTGACCGGATGGATGAGCCTGCTTCTAACCAGTCCCATGAGCATCCGATGCATCCGCCAAACCCCGATGTACAGATGCAGCGGTGGCCGATACGTTCTTCCGTTTGTACAGAGGTGCCGTCCACGTCCATGCACATCCTTAATCCTGTAATCAACCAGCATGATGCCCAGCTTGCATTCAGTGACCAGGTTTCCTACAACCCTTGTGCCAAGCCAACAGCTGTACGTCCATTCCACATGTCAGTGCTCAGTGACATCCAGCCGTCATTGCAAAGATTCGACACTCACCCCATGGTAGCCTGCAAAGCAGTACGCCATGGGCCCGCCAAGGGAAGAGGAAGGACACTCCAGCTCAAGAAGATTGACACTGCAGTGGATGTACACACTGAATGCACCCAGCCAATCATTGCCAAAGTCAGGCGTGAGCATGAAAGTCCCATTGCACATCTGGTCGGACCACAGCAGGATGGTGATGACACAGAGGATGAACAGATGGATGAGCACGATCACCCAGTGTTGCCTGCATTTGTCAACTACCTAACCAACAGGTTAGAAGGACTAGGGCTCAATCCACATGACAATGACTTTGACCTTGCTGTACGCACATGGTACATTGATCATCGCACCATCCATAGATGGACCGCACCTCGCATTCTCCAATTGGTAGGACCTCCAAGGGGATGGGAAGCACAAATCCAATCCTTGTGGGTAGACCAACTCAACAACGATGACTGGTTTGATGTAATCATTGTAGAGCCTGATCCCCCGAGGCTAGCACGACATGCGTTTGTAGTATACGACATGATTGTCACGCAGTCTCTGGACATGCCACGTGTTGCTTCCATGGTCACCGTCTTGCCAGGTAGAGCCGATACCTTCCAGATGTATTCGGTGGCCTGTTCATTGCCTGAAGTTGTCAGTGGATATGAATTGGTCCAAGCAGCTGACGCAGGGAGACACTGTAGACATGCTGAATGCCTCATCACATACAGGTGGATTCAAATCCCCAACACGTTACGTCCAACGCACCAGGTTGGTCAGGGTGATGGGTTTCAGATTGTGGTCCATGATCAGGAGCGCTTATCACTGTCAAAACATGTAGATGATGCCAGTTCGTCAGAAGCCATCACTACCAGTCCAACATACTCTCCCGGAAGACATGCACAGGCAGCCTCCAGCAATCAGCCAGCACGTTTCACCACAATGCTTCATCTTTTCCAGCTTGAAGGTGTGGAAGTGTGTTGTCAAGTCCTCAATGACCAACGTATCTTGCCGACTCAAGAAATTGCAGATGCACTGCACATACCGCTGGATTGCCTGGAAGCTATCCATGTCATGCCGCACACGCCTTTTCAGATGCCAGAGTATGACATGGTGGCTGTAGTCCAACGTACTGGAGACCTATCGCCCAACACCATGGTTAGGCTCATGCTTGTGGATATTGTATATCACCACCATCCAGACTCGAACGGAGTGACTCACAGACCCACTTTGGTGCGGGAAGTTCAACGCGTTGGTCATCAAATTTTGCGCCAGCAAATCTTGCTTGCTGCAGCCGTGCATCACTATTGCATCCTAGTGACCACACAATGTGCTGTCACATTTGATGGTGTTTTGTGGCCTGAAGATGAACACAGCCCAAGACCTGTGCACCATGGTTCCTATGCCCAAGTCATAGTACCACCACCACCCACGCATGACCTTCCTACCCAAATGGCTGTGGAAGTCGCTCACCAAACGGTCGAGCACAGGCAGCCCTTTTTGACCCATCCAGTGCTGATGATGACATCGCCAATGCAATAGACACAGACGATGCCGACTCTGATGATATTCAGCTTACACAAGTTGCTGCGAAATATCGCAATGTTGCCACTTTCCAAACACGCTTGCCTGCAGATGCCGATCATCTTCCACAACACAAACCAGAGTGGAAGCATGACCCACTTGCGCAGACGGCCGATGATCCGCCACAACAGGCCAGGCCCCTACAAGCTGAATGTTCAGCGCAGTACGTGAGTCCGACATCGAAGCCGTCATTGCCGACAACTGCACAACAAAGAGAGGTCACCGCCAGCCAAAGCAGCACCTCCACCTTCAGGTTACTGCGTCCCACTGAGGCAATTGGCGCAATGCCCACAAACGATGTCAGACCCATTCAAACTCCACAACATCCAGGTGACCCAGTAGCCAAGCCATGTACGGCAAGGTGCCCTAAACAGCTCACCATCACAAACTTCTTCAGAGCGCCACAGGGAAAGAAAGTTCAATCTGAAGCCAAGAAGCAGACAACCATTGGACAGTTCTTCAAGGTCAAACCCAACCGAGAAGTACCTGAGCACCAAAGCTGCCTTGATGTGTTGCCTTCTGCTTCCGACTCACCCAAGCAGGACTCAATGGTGGTTCCAATGCACGGTCCAGTAGCACATACTCAGACAGTGCAAGCACGCACAGGCTATCACCATGAAGCTGAACCCCCCACATTTGAAGCGAGGGCTCCAGCTCAACCTGCCAACCCTGAAGCGCCACGACCACGCCCCATTTGGCATATGGAGTTGAACATCATCTTCCTCGAGGAAGCCATCACACACCGACGTGAGGTCGGACCCGAATTGCCTGTGGAAGTATGGTACGTTCATCATGCCGACATGCCCATATGCCGACACCGCCATATCAAATGAGACGTCAAGCAGTGATCCACATCATCCTGGAACAAGGGATGACCCCAGAGAAAGCCGCCATTCTGCTCACCGTTGCCTTCCATGGAGGTACCAGGATGGGCCTCATGCAGCAAGCAGAATCATCCCCAGTGGACACCTGCACAGAACGTGTCATTCAAGACCATGGCCTGCAACCTCAATGTGATTTTCGTCCATGCAACCTGTTCTCCGGTAGGTTTCGTTTTCACCACCACAACACTGAAAGAGTGCCCTCTGGCATCAGCTTATTGCTCGATGTAGGGGACCATAGGCTCCAAGCACCGGCACAATCCAGCACCGATGATCCCATGCTTGTCGAGCCAAACGACACCACCGTGGCAGAAGAAGCAGACATCATGGATGATACAACTGCATTGATGCAACGGCCCAGGTACAAAGCGTTTCCCAGACCAACAACAGGTACCGGTCAAGGCATCCCACCTGCGCCTACCAGTTCCTCATGGTTCACTATCTCCCAGCCGCTTGCACCTACAGGTACTAGCCAACACCAGCCGGTCCAATGGACCACCATCCAGGTCAGAAACCTTGCAGATTTCCACACAATGCTGCAGTGGTTGTCGAACCGTGCACAACACGACCGATGCCAACCAGATGCTGGTCAAGCCAAAATTGCCACTTGGTACCTTGAGCCGCAAGTGATGCCTCGTAGTGACCATTACCGTGACGTCCTGTTGTCTGCCAACCCGACCCTGTGGCCGAGTGAGGTACTGCAGCGTTGGGCCGACATTTTGCAACCATCCCAACCAGTTGACCTCTATGTAGTGCAGCCCGATCCACCAGGAGGAATGCCTGATGTTTTTGCCCATGTCATCGTCACCCAAAAGGCACCGCCTGATCAGGCAGCAGCACTGGTCTCTGTTACTGAACTGCTTGAGGACCCGTGGCACCCATCGAGATTTGCCCTCTTCTTGCATAGCCCAGTAACCAGCGATGCACTATTTGAACATGCAGGCATTCCGCAAGACCAAGTAGCTGCCACACCTGGGCTCAGTGCATACCACGGCACAACACACATACCGCATGGCAGCTCCTACCCAGTGCGCTCAGGCTTTGCTTTCGAGGTTGTCACTGACTCACTTGATTTTGAGGAAGAAGGGAGTGCTCTCCTGCAATTCTCCCCTGCCTGGCCAGGAAAGGAACACCAAACCTCCGACATGCCCAATGCAGCTACTGCTAGCAGCAGCCATGCTGCTTGCTGTGAGCAACTCCTTGAGTCCATGCGACAACTTGAAATGGCCATGCAGCGAATCAACACAGCTCTTTGCTCCAGAACGGTGGTTTCACCGAAACAAATGCAGGTAGAGCCTCACCCAGAGGTAACTCAACCCATGCATTTCTCCCTATGCAAAGACCCACCAATCGAAGATGATACCACTCATTGCAACACACCAGGACTGGGACGACAGCCCGACACCTTGCACCGCTGGCAGCAATTAACTGCCATCAGACCCAAAGAGGCCCGTCCAATGGCACCCATCATGACGTGGTACGTGGATCATGAGCGCTTCCCACAGTGCTTTGCCCCAAGGGAAGTGTTTGTCACTAGACATCCACAGGCATGGAAGCGACTCATCCTCCAAGCATGGAATGACATTTATTTGCCTGCAAATCAGGTTGAAATAGTCATCGTCCAGCCAAATCCCATCATGATGGAAGAGCACTTAGTAGCTCATGTGATTGTGCTACAACAGCAAATGCCAGGATTCACCACTGCGTTGCTCACCACACTGGATAGTGCGACACCTGGTGTACACAGGCGACATGCCACCATTGCCCCGACTGAACTCAGCAGAGCCACGCTGCTTGCACTTGCTTTCCATCCTCAGGAATGTGAGCACGAATCCAACACCTGCGATACCTGGGTTGGGGAAGAGGCTCTGGACGAACAGGCACCCATGCCACTCTCGCCAGGGTCATCATGCACTGCTGCATTGCACCGACATGTGCCACTGCCACCAGGACAGCCAGACCCATGGAACAGCAGTGTTCCCAAGCACTGCCCACATAGAGTGACGCTTTGCTTGCAAGCAGTCCTTCCCGCCAAAGCACAACCAGAGCATGTCAGTCTCGATGATGACAAGCCACAACTGTTGTGGTTTGCTAATGAAGCCTGGAAACTCGCCCTTGAAGCTGAATTGCCATTGCAACTCCTCCCACTGCCTGATGGGCTCGTAGTTCCTGAGCAATCCTACTGGCCGTTGCTTCAACCGCCACCATTGTCAGATGTAGCCGACGTGACCTACACACTTTACCTGGACGGAGCCGCCAATGGCCAAGAAGCCGGATGGAGTGTCATTGCTATTGCCAACTGCCACCAGCAAGAGACTTTCCTTGGATGCATTTATGGTACAGCTCAACCCACATCACCCTGACTGGCTAGGGGCAACCACAGCTGACAACATCTCTGCAGAGCTGTCGGCCATGGTTGCTGCTCAAAACCTTGCCATGAGATGGTCCGGCAACAACCAATTTTGTATACGCCCTGACCTCTCCCTGAGCCGCACAGTAGCCACAGCCTCGACCACATGCAAGTCCAACCAGCCCCTTGCCAGACTATGTGGGGCTTTGGGCCTTTGGCTAGGCCCCAAAGCGACCATCCATGAAGTCAGAGGCCACCAAGGGCATGCCTGGAATGAACTAGCAGATGCCGTTGCAAAGTGGGCAATGCAACAGCACACTGACCCTGCGACAGGACAATTTGCCCAACTGCACCAGCTTGCCACCAACCCACACGATGTGGATTGGGTTTGGATGCAAACCACGCATCCTGCAATTGCCACCTGCTTCCCACCGCTCAGCCAACAACAGGTCATGCACTTCACGCAGCCTACCACAAAGCTCGGCATCCTGCCAACTGAGCGCCAAATCGGCGACCATCATGAAGCAGGACTGAAATGGGGCCTTAAGGTTTGTACAACCAATGTTCTTGCAGCCGAGGTCTGGGCCACACACACAGCAGGCACCAAACGTACTGGGCAAAGGACGGTGCGTCTTGACCAGCAATGGCACCAAGCCAACATTCATGTCATCGGAGTTCAAGAGGCCAGAACGCCCCAAGGACGATACCATGCACCTCACTATCATATCCTGGCCTCCGGTGCCAAATGCAAGAGGGCACCACTCTATGGGTGTGAATTGTGGATCCATAAGACTTTGCCGATAGCAACAGACCCTCAAGGGAAACCCATTGTACTCGGTAAAGCGATCCTCACTGTTCAGCATGCCGATCCACGCCGCCTACTGGTAGAAGCGAAGATCGGCCATTATGTTTATGCGTTCATTGTCCTGCATGCCCCAAGCCTTGCCACAGCAGCACAAGATGTTCCTGACCCCATTGAAGCAGCCACACAGTGGTGGGATGAAACAGCAGCCCTTTATGCCAAGTACGTGACTGCTGGGGCCCAATGGTTTTTCATCGATGCGAATGCTCCCCTGGATGCTGGGGATGGCTTGCTCATTGGACCACACGGTGCCGAACCTGCCAATCATGCAAGCGCACGGTTTGAGAGCTTCATCCAACTGCAGCACCTGATGGTGCCTTCCACCTTTGCCTCCATCCATGATGGCCCAACCACCACATGGACGCACAGCACCGGAAAGAAGAGCCGCAAGGACTACATCCTTCTCTCCCAGGAAGTGGCAAAATTGGCTAGCAAAAGCTGGGTAGAAGTACACCATGATAGCACATTTGCACACGAAGACCACCTGCCGGTCGTCCTGCAGTGTGCCGGATGGCTTCCAACATCTCATACCCACCCGCCCATCGGATGGGACGACCGTGCCATGCTGGACCCAGCCAAAGTTGATGCATTCCAGCAGGCGCTGCACACGCTACCATTGCCTGCGTGGGACATAGGGGTAGATGACCATGCTGCCCTGTATGAGCAGCAGTTGCTGGCCCTTGGCCGCCAATTCTTTGCACGCAAACCTCGCAAAGAGCGACCTATCACCCTCAGCTCCCAGACATTAGAAGCCATTGCATTCAAAAGGCACGTACTGGACTTGGGCCGACAAACCAACAGCATGCACCATGAGGACTTCAAGGCAGAACTGCGCAACATCGAAAAGACGGTCGCTCGTTTAGTGCGCGATGATATCCAAGGTTTCTACAATGACTCGCTGAAGCAGATTCAGGCATCTGGAGAAATCTCCAACCACCGCCTGGTCTTTCGGCTCCTCCATAGGTTGGGCCGCAAGAAAGGTGCAGGAGCAAACGGGCCCAGGCCCCTGCCGATGATCCAGAAACCTGATGGTACCACTGCCAGCTCATACCTTGATCAGCAGCGCACATGGATGCACCAGTTTGCAAGCATTGAGGCTGGAGTCCCCCGTACTTGGGACGAGCTTGAACAGCAGCACGCTGCCTTGCAACAATCCCAGCATTGCCATGACCTTGAACCTGCCGCCTTCCCCGGCCAATGGCAAATCCGCATGCTAATCTCCAAATTGCACAGACAAAGTCCCAGGTCCCAACCTTGTGCCACCTGCGTTGCTTAAAGCTGGGGGTAGTGTAGTGGCAAAACAGCTTTCAGTGATGTTCACCAAAGCTGCTGCAGGCGCTCAGGAACCCCTCCATTGGAAAGGTGGGGTCCTGATCCCACTCTGGAAGGGAAAACTGGCGCCTCACCTGGCAAATGGATATCGTAGCATCTTTATCTCGAATTACACTACCAAACTATATCACCAGTGTTTCCGTGCCCATTTGGTAGATGCCTGGGAGCAAACCTTGACACACCTCCAATGCGGCGGCAGGAAAGGAATCGGTGCCGACGTGGCTCACCACATCGTACAATGCCACCAATCATGGTGCAAACAGAAAGCAGTGCCTTCAGCTGCTCTGTTCTTTGACCTCAAATCGGCATTTTACATGGTATTGAGACAGGCCTTCACTCAAATTCCCTCCCATGATGACGCATTCATGGCAGCGATGTATCATGTAGGACTGACCCCCGCCGAGGTTCACAAATTGATCACCAATGCTGCAACCGATGATGCTGTCAAAGGACTTCCGTGCCACATGCAACACATCCTGCATGACCTTTTGCACAATACTTACTTTACAGTGCAAGGCCTCCCTGATCCGTGCCAAACGACTCGTGGCACCCGGCCAGGGGATCCCATAGCCGATGTGTTGTTCAACCTTTGTATGCACCTCATCCTGACCGACTTTCGTGCCACCATGGAGCAAAGTTCTGATGTCCCGTGGTTAGGCCAGGCAACTCCGGTCTCCGACTTGAGTGACATCCCAAGCATACCGCCCACCGGGTTCATTGATGTTACATTCGTGGATGACTGCGTGGTCCTGATCCATGGACGTTCCAATGACAATGTAGCAGCAACCATGAAAGCAGTCGTTCAAGCCATGGACAAAGCTGCTGCCACACGGGGGCTCAGCATCAACTATGAACGTGGCAAGACGGAGGCACTATGGACCATTCTTGGCAAAGGGGCCAGGCAGATGAAACAAACTCTCCATGAAGCCGGCCAAATCCTGCAGTGCACACATGAGGGCATTCAATATGCGATACCACTGTGCCACACATACAAGCATTTGGGAACGTGGCTCCAAGCGCACCACAAGCATACCAGGGAAATCCTGGCCAGGAGCTCGGCTGCCAAGCAACAGTACGGACAGCTGGCACGTCCCTTTTTCACCAAAAAGTGTATCACCTTGCCGGTCAAGAGTGCCATTTTCCAATCCCTGGTACTCTCCAAGATGCTTTACAATGTGCACACATGGACATCCATCACACCCAAGCACATGCACTCGTGGATTAACCACCTCAAAGCCCCCACTGGCACCCTACTGAAGGGGCTGCTGATGGCGCCTACCAGATTCATGCATACCACTGATGAAATGATGGCCTGCGCCGGTATCCTCCCGCTCATGGACCAAGTACACGCCAACCGGCTGAGGTTCCTGGCACGACTGCTTGGCGCCTGTCCCCCTATCACATGGGCGCTGATGCACCACACCACAGGACATCATTCCTGGATGGAACAATGCATGGAATCATGTCAATGGATGCTCTACCACTATGACAGCAAGCTTCCGCTGGACACCTCATCGCTCTTCCAGGACTGGGTGCAGTTCGTGCGACTGGATCCCAACTGGAAAGGCAGGGTCCGAAAAACAAGCAAGCTAGCCTTGTCATACCATCGGGCAAGAGCCGACCATGCCATTTGGCAACGGCACTTTGACAACCGCCTAGCCGCAGCAGGGGCGACACTTCCCGACAAGTCCAAACCGCAGCCAGCTCCGGAGCGTTGGCAATGCGACCTGTGCCAGAAGGTGTTCAACTCCACCAGAGCGCTCGCCATGCATGCTGCACGAGGGCATGGCTACAGGAAAAAGGTCAGATACTTTGCAATCGGAGACACATGCCAAGCGTGTGGGCAAAACTTTCACACGAGAAAAAGGCTCTCTGTGCACTATGAAAAGCAGCAAAAGTGCTATGACATAGTCACTGCCTGTTGGCCGCCTTTTCCAGCTGCTATGGTGCAAAGCCTCGACATGGCCGACAAAGAAGACGAAGCGCAACTGCGCAAACAAGGGTGGTGGGCCGCAAAAGCTTTCCAACCGGTGCAGCAGACCCAGGGTCCCCCACTACCCTCTGCTGGCTCTGCTGCCGCTCAAGCCATGTATGACAAGATGGTGCAGAGACGTCCGAGCGACGAAATAGCCTATACGCAACTGCAGGGCACTCGCATCACAAAGCTTCCACCAACTGACCCACAGCTCTGGTGGACACGTGCCAACCTTCCGTCCTTCATTATGCAGTCGGTTAGCGGCAGAGACTGTGCTGGCGGCGCATTCGCAATGCAAGGTCTCGCCAGAGAGACCGCCCTGCTCCACGTCAGAGCACTTGTTGTGGTGCACTTCTTTAGCGGATTTCGCAGGATGGGCGATATTCATCACATCCTCGACCACCGCACCATGGAGACAGGAGCACAGGTCTTTACCATTTCGGTAGATCTATGCATGCAACGGGTCAACGGCGACCTTGCCACGCCACAGGCCTCACGATGGTGGCGAGAGCGAGTCCTTGCTGGACAAGTGGTGGCGGCTGGAGGAGGCCCACCATGTGAAACGTTCACTGTGGCCCGACAATATGAAGGAGGCCCCAGACCGTTGCGGGACTCTGCCCATCCCCTCGGTCTTCCGGGACTCACTCTCAAAGAGTGGGCACAGCTGCGTATCAGTGACCGACTCCTACGCTTCCTGCTCGACGTTCTCGTGGCCCTAGCTCTCATGGGGATGAGCGGATTTTTGGAACATCCGCAATTTCCAACGTGGTGCACCAGAGGCTCTCCGGCGAGCATTTGGGCCACCGAAGCCCTCATCATTCTGAAGAACCTGGGGTGCTTCTCCGTGGTGAGCTTCGATCAATGCACAGTTGGTGCCCTGGGGAAAAAACCGACCACTCTCCTTTTGCTGAGACTGCCGAGGGTGCGAGACAGGCTCTTGGGGCGTGGCCGAAGTGGACGGTGCAATCACCCGCCTGGAGCTCACGTGGCGCTGATAGGCCGTGAGGAAGATGGCACATTCCACACGGCCAAAGCCAAAGTATACCCCTACGGCCTCAACAAGATACTGGGTGAAGCGCTCTTTGATGCAGCGGTTCAGTGGCAGCACCTCGACATCGCAACCGACCTGCCCAAGGAGCTCACCCCGTACCTTGAACAGAGTTGCCATGCCCCGGAGGTGGTGCAACCGGACTACCACGGTGGCAGCTGAGATAAACTCAGCATCGTAGTGCATCGACCAGACCAAGCACCAAGACGGTGCAGCAGAGCAAATGGGAAAAAACATGGGGTTCAAACCACCAACCAGAATATATGCAGATAGTGGGATTTACCCATTGAAAATGGTGGATCTTTCCATAGTTATGAATGGAAATGGGATTCTGGTTGGTGGTTTGGAACCATGACTTTTATGACTTTCCATATATTGGGAGCAATAAATAATCCCATTTGACTTTCATATTTTTCAGTGGGGTTCAAACCACCAACCAGAATATATGCAGATAGTGGGATTTACCCATTGAAAATGGTGGATCTTTCCATGGTTATGAATGGAAATGGGATTTTGGTTGGTGGTTTGGAACCATGACTTTGATGACTTTCCATATATTGGGAGCAATAATCCCATTTGACTTTCATATTTTTCAGTGGGGTTCAAACCACCAACCAGAATATATGCAGATAGTGGGATTTACCCATTGAAAATGGTGGATCTTTCCATAGTTATGAATGGACATGGGATTCTGGTTGGTGGTTTGGAACCATGACTTTGATGACTTTCCATATATTGGGAGCAATAAATAATCCCATTTGACTTTCATATTTTTCAGTGGGGTTCAAACCACCAACCAGAATATATGCAGATAGTCTGATATAACATGATATAACATGTTTGGAATTCAATAGAAGTATATACTAAATTATACTAATACTGGACAGTATTGAAGAAATCACAGTTTTTTGTGGGATCACCCTGGCTGCGATAAAGCTATATACACTTGCCATGACTGGGGGTTGACACATGTTTTTTTCATTCCATCCATTTTTGCTGCATTTGGGGATGATGGATGGGCTTTACCATAGCATGATGGCAAATCATGGAGCGGCATACCTTGGTTGCTAGTTTCGAACATGTTCGCCCCAACCCGGACGTTGCTCCACACTTTCAATAGTCATGATATGTCATGATGATGATCATGATGTGATGATACAGTATACTCGCAGTGCTTGGGATGATATAGTATACTCTCTCAATTGACAAATCATGTTTGTTGGGTTGTTTGAAACCACCAACCTGGTATAGCAATGGGCATTGATGCCATTGGGTTATCCCGTTCTCCCCAATGGTTGCTGAAACCTCCAATTTTTGTAGGTTTACCATGGTTTAGCTGTTTTGTTGACAGGTGTAACCTCCCATTTTGAAGATCAATGATCAATATCCCTTATTTCGGATCATATCGCCGCTTTGGGTCATTTTGGTAGGTTAAATCTTGATGTTCATCATCAAATTAAGAAAAACTGTAGACTGTAAATCCATTTCTTTCGTGACAAAGTAACGAACTAATTCTAAGTTCAAATTCAAATTCCCAGTTTTGCATGATTAAAACAATGGAATCACATGGAATCCATTCTTGGACCCTCCAGGTTCAATCTGCACGGCTTCCCCTTCAGCGGCACCACGAAAACATGCAGGGCTACGCAGCACTGGTCCAAGGGGCGCGACAAATGGCATCGGTGGGACCCTTGGATTTTCTCCTTGGTTCCGGGGGTGACATATTGGTGTTTTCACGGAAATTTCAGCGACCAAGAATTGCGGAAGTTCAGGAAGTCTATCTAGAATTCTTACGCAGATTTGCGGATGCTAAAGCCCAAAAGAAGGGAAACCAATCCAGATTTGGCTTTTGGTCTAGATACTTAAGCATTCACGGTATTTTGCAAGCTTGAGTACCACTTTTTTTGCATTGGGTGACTGTGAGATGGATTTGCCAAATCCCAAGACACTGGCACTTTCTCAGTCCACTTTGACCTTTATCTTGATGATGATGATGATGATGATGATGCCATTGCATTCTATTAGCTTTCAATGAACACGATTCCACAATACATTCCACTTAGATTTCTTTCCAGACCTGACACTTAAATGAATCAACATGATATCTGATATCCGAAAAAAATCGAAAAAGTCGCAGAGTCGGTTGGGTTGTCCTGGCCAATCATCACATTTCGGATTTTTGTTTGAGACCTGGCCCGTGGACCCTCGCGGGTCTCGTTGCAGGCAGAAGCTGAGTCGGACTTGGTGGCGGAAGATGTCTTTCAGACAGCCAGGTCGGAAACCACGTTGCTGAGCCGCATCCAAACTGGCATCTTGGGGACTTGATAATCTCGATTTTTTTGGGGATTCTTTGCTATTCTTTGCTGAGGACTTTTGAAAAAGTCATTTCCAGGGCTATTTAGAAGCTGATTGTCCATGACATTTGATGAACAAATTGCCAACGTTTCTACAGGTTTCGCAGCACCTGGCATGGCAAGTTGATGGTCCTTGGGCCCTCCACCAGTGAACGGCTTGCGACACGCGCGGCGACGTCACTGACAGGTGAGTTCGGTGGAGTGTTGGAAGGGATTGAGATTAATTAAGCAACTAGTTGCGCAACATGATGTGGTGTACGGCGTACGGGCTGCACATGGCTGCACATGGCTGCACATATGGGCCGTATTTTGGGCTGCATCTTTAGTATATTCTATAGATGGGATGTATTCTGCAACTGAATAACCAATGGGTTTGTTTGAAAATGGAGGAATTCCCCCAATTCGCTATGGCGGGGCTGGTTCGGTGGAACTGGATGTCTCCAGCTGAATTTCAGGATTGAAACAGATTGAAACTACGAATTATGGACCTTTCAGCCTGAAGACATAGGAGGGTGGAGATAATGTGATGGAACCCAATGCCCTTTTCGAAAGTGGGTTTAAGTGCCTCCAAAATGGTAAGATGAGGTAAATATGGGATAATGTTTGGATGTTTTTTTGTTCATCACCTTGGATGACTTTCATGAAAGATGTGGATTTCCTTCTGCAAAGGTTGGATCGGCACAGGTTTCCTAAACTGGATTACAATGATATTTCTTTTACATGACTGAACAGCACGAATAGCCTCTGGTAAGTGAGAATAGCTATGGAAACCACGGCCCCTTTATATATAGATGGCTTATACCATACATGGTGATTCTCCATGGTGATTTCCCATAGCTATGTTAAATTACTAGCGGGCATCCAATTTTTTCTTGTCAACTTTTGGAACAATTTACCAAAACAAGTACTGGTTTGCCTGAAAATACGGTATTCAAAGATCCCATGGTGTATTTATCCTGGTTGCCCCTTTGAAACTGCCATTTTTGAGGTATCACATCCTTGGGCAAACACGCGTGACATTTCCGAAGTAATAGGGTTGTTTCCCAGTGCACTGTATGCGGTGGTGATATGCTGTACCAAAAAGTGGTATTGCATGTATGATATGGTATCATATTATATGATACTCAATAAGTCTCTTTGATTAGTTTTTCAAGGAAGTGACAATGAGTTGCATACCTGGTTTATTGGAATTTAATCAACTTGTCATGAAGGAAATTCACATTCACCAGCCCGAAATCTCGATGTATGGAGCATTCATTTCCCAACATTTAGCCCATTTCAATGATCTATATTTCTTTTAAACCAGCGCCATGGAGCAGATGGGAACGGCGATTTTTGGGGCAGCTGTTTGAGCCCTGCCATGCTACTCTGCTAGACCCTGCTAGGCACAACTCAGGGTTAATCTGTACGAAATACACATATAGACCGTTATAGACTCAAAAATTAAGGATGGCTAACAATAAAAATATGGTGCATGATTTCATATAAAAAAGTGATTTGATTGTTCTAATCAATCAGCATTCGGATTTCTCCAGAAAGGAATTTCGCGAGAAGGGACCCCGAAAAAACGATGGACAGCTTTGAACTCGCCGCAGGAATCGGTTGGAATTACCGAATTACCTATTCACATTTGCAAGACCCCATCGTTTCCATTGGTTTCCTAATTTCTATTGATGTGAGCTCTCAAAATATCATTCCCCTGGGGGTGCAGTTTGTTTTTTCGCACTGAGTATAGCTCCGGTAGCAACTTCCATGAGATGGGATATAACTAACCCCTACAACTATAGTGACTGGTTGGTGGTTTCAAACATGTGTTATTTTCCATAATATATGGGATAATCCCTCCCATTGACTTTCATATTTTTCAGAGGGGTAGGCTCAACCACCAACCAGGTGAAATCTAACCCACTTCTTGGTGGAACTGCAGCCTCGGGGGTCGCAGGTGAAGCCGACCGATTTCCGGTGCTGCCCATGTACCGTCACAGCTCGAAAGAGGCGAAATGGGGAAGGAAGCAATGGGTCGTGTTCAAACGGAAATGGGATTTACCCGCTGGCAAACTAACATAGCCGTGTTATTTTTCCATATATTGGGAATGTCATCATAGTGGGATTTACCATGATTTACCCATTGAAAATGGTGGATCTTTCCATAGTTATGAATGGATATGGGATTCTGGTTGGTGGTGACTGGAACATGACTTTTATGACTTTCCATTCAGTTGGGAATGTCATCATCCCAACTGACAAACTCATATTTTTCAGAGGGGTAGATATACCACCAACCAGGATTTAATTGATGGAGATTGAAATATCAACAATACAGATTTAGAGGGAATTGGAAGTTATAAGCAACCAATAGCAACCATAACTATTTGGGTTTGTTCCGAGAATGGGAACCGGTTCTAAATTCGAGTTTTTATCCTGAAGGATATTTCTGGATTATCCTGAAGCATCCTTTAGATGTGATTTTCTAATGTGCTAAAGCCAAGCGGATGTCATTCATATGGTCCATGTCACTCTCCAAAGAACTGAAAAAAGTGCGGACCTTCCAGATCTCGTTGGTGCTGACTGGAACATGGCTTTTATTTTCCCCAATATGTTGGGATGATGATCCAATCTGACGAACTCCATCATTTTTCAGGGGGGTAGATATATGTAGATATAGCATCAACCAGAGATGTCATTTTTAGTGATTTCAAGTGTTTCAATCAATGGATTGGTTTAAGGGAGAATCTTAACCGGAAACCATAGATTTTCCCATTAAATATGGGGAAATCCTGTAAATTTTCCCTTAAACCAATCCATTGATTCAAGCGACCTGTTCAGGCCAAAGGTTCCGACTTCAGACAGAAGCAGAAGGCTGTCTCTCTAGACAACGACCTACCCAAACTAGGCTGGATGTGGGGCGGACGATTCAACATGGTACGTGCTTGAAAAATAGCAAGTGTTTGAAACCCATATTCCTAGATGATTAGTGGGATTATACTAACCAATTTATATATGACTATATATTTTAACATATGTATAATATATATATAGTGGGGAATATCACAATTAAATTAGGGCAATGGCCTTTCTGTGGCGATCTTCTGTGTTTTCTTTTCACAAATCAGGGGACTTGAACCATATCGAAAAAGCCGTTGCGGACAGAATGGAGCATCTTCACCAAGGTTTCCAGCACTGTTTTAGCGGTGTCCATGCTGAACCGCTTAACCGGCTTAACGGGCCAATCATGTCGGGCGTGTCGGGCCAAAAAAATGGCAATCTGACATCATTTTACATCATCTTACATCATTATTGAATCATCTATAGGTGTCGATGGTTCATGATTTCTCACCCAGTTGTCTTTTTACGTTAGGTTGAGTATGGGTGAGTCTGAACATATGTTGTCATACTTACCCCAGTTTATTGCTAGGTCATGGTGTTAAAATTCGCCCTTTAACTGAAAATTGCTGAAAATTGGACGGATTGGGGTTCCAAATGTGCAGCCAACGTTGTTGGCCGTTTTATAAAAATAGGGGTGCCCTCAAACCATGTCTTTTCCTGTCTCCCCATCAAAAAAATGACCAATTCCAGAGGATGTTGGGCTCTGCTGGAAATTCCATACGTTTAGCCCCAGTTGGTTTGCTTCCGCTGGTTTCAGCTTGCAGGTCAAATACAACCGGCCGGAAGTTGGAGGAGCATTTCCAAAGGCTCTGGCAGGCCCTACAAATCTCATACATGATGGTTAGGTATAGAAATATATAGGTATAGCAGATAAGGGCAATCATTCCAAAATCATCAGAAATAATCGCACAATACCGTATATACATATGACAAGCGATGTATTAGGCAATCATCAATAACAAAGGGACTTGTTTGCATTTCAGGTTGGGGGATGATTGGAATGAGTATTTTTTTAATGGATGGATCATGACAGATCAAAATGTGCTGGGTGGAAAATATTTTAGAGAGGTCACAATTCCCCCTTCTATTTCAACATGCGAACAAGCGATCCTTTTTCATAAATCATCCTTTTTTTGCCACAAGTTAGGACGTTGAATCAGCGGAAAGGGGGGTTCCCGGGTGATATCACCAACGAGTCATCAATTGTGGTAACGAGGGTTGCAGTGACTTGTCAGCTGTACATCAGGAAACTCATGGAAATCAAAGGGCCACATTGGACGTGGGTTTTGTTTTCAGGCTCCGTTTGAAGTCCTTAGATCATCCAGGACAACATCTCCCAGTTTTCCCTCAAAAATCGCAGGTTAGCGGCTGGCACGGATGGAGAAGCCGCAATGTGGTATTTTACCGCTTGGAGTTTCATGTTACCACAGTTATCATTATCCATACAGCATGGTCATTTGGATTTAGGACTTACGAAGGGGTAGAAATCCAGGACCATCCAAGACCTACATTGTGAGGCCCCCCAGTTATAACTTCGTTTATAAACCCCAGTAACTATACCATAAACCATAGTTATTGGAGTTATAAACCAACTTAGCTATCTTGGGGGCCTCACATTGTAGTTGAACGATTACTTTTTTGAGCACTGGATGCATCCAACGCACAGCTCGGCAGGTTTGGTTACACATTGCCAGAAACTCCTCGTCGCGAAGGGCCAAACCATCCCTTGGTTTCTCCACGTCCTTTGGCGCAACACGTAGCAGAGGAGAATCACAGCTTTGGTTTCAAAGACAGCCAAAAGATGCCTCAAAAAAGGCTAAAACGAACTGAAGAGATCCAAAGTAAGCTGCAGAAATGACTGGTTGGTGGCTACACATCGTGTTTTGTTTCGCACTTATCCATACGTGGGGTTGGGGGACTCACTTGGCTGATTTGTTACAGGTTGAAACCACCAAACATCACCACACTATTCTGAACATTGACTGATCATACCTTGGGGATCCTTGGGGAACATAGATATTCCCAACAGCAGCGCTTGGGGTTACCCGGAATCTTGGAGAAAGGGGAACCCGGAACCTTTTCTGACCTGCCTGCTGTTGGGTTACAAAGCTGGGCCATGTTTTCCTTAGACACTTCACTTAGAATGTTATGAGATTGCTCCGTGTACATGTCCCAACATTTATATATAGAATATGCCCTAAAATGGCCCAGGTCAAAGGGCAGTGCAGTTCCACCATGATAATCTCCACATTGGCGAAGTTCCTCCAATTCTGTGTATATTATATATTATATTATATATTATATTATATATATCCCTACGTTTGTTCATTACGAAAAACGAAGAGTTGCCAACTATATTGCCATATTTGGTTTGCTCAATCTCCAAGTTTGTTGATTAAATCATATATGAAATCAGCACTTAATTTTTCTCGTGACCCCCAGTGATCTCCCAATTTTTGTTGGTCATGGTAAATCCTCATAAATTCCCCAACTTTATTTGTTACTTGTGGATCTTATGGTAAACCAAAACTACGAGTTCCCAATGCCAAGCATTTTTATTAGTTCAATCCCCAAGTTTTTGAGGTCGCAACCCGCCGAGTCATCCGGCACCGCGGCAAATGGCCTGGACTTTGCTTCCAGGCACCGGGGGGATCTGTTGATTTTCTCGGGATTTGGTGGTTGAAAAAATGCTAAATCCTTAGATGTGTCTGACTTTGAAAATAATAACAATAGTAATGATAAGTATATATATACTATGGTATACTACGGTATATATATATATTAATTATATATATACACATATTTTTGGGATTCTCTGACTACTCTCTGGTAATTTGTTACAGTTTGCCAAGGAAAGTCATCATTTTGAATAGGTAAATTATCGATCCAAATGGGCCATTCCTCATAGAAAGCATGGTGGATGTAGGGTATAAAACCACCTATTTGGACCATAGGAATAGGGATGGTCAATGTAACTTAATATGAGGGGATTGGATGGGATGATTTAGAGGAAATGACATACAGATTCTTCACCTATATGGTATATGGTGTGTGGTAAACCCCCCAAAAAGATAACAGAACGGTTGATTTATAATATTTTATCACTAGTTTAGGTTTAGATTTTAAATTCATCATCACTGTTTTTTTGAGGATGGTTTAGTTTTCTATTTGTTTTGATTCAGATTGTTATTACCATTTGGTAATTTAATATAGATATGGAACACGGCCCAATTATACATGATGTACCTATTGAGAATAGTGATTTCCCATAGCTATGTTAAACTACCAGATGGTAATGTTGAGTATATTACCCATTAAATCCCTAGATAAATCCCATTAAATCTATATTATATATATATTATATACATATATCCCATAGGATTTCCCATTACTAGAAGGTGTGTATGGCAAAAAAAGCATTCTGCTGCCAGGTATCACTGACTGAGTCACTAGCGATTGCCACACGGCAACCATTAGTATCCTCTGCTGGGATTTCTTGAAACCAGATGAACCCTGGTGGATTTGGGTTTGCCAAAAAAATGGGAGAACCTCTAGTCCATCATAGGCGCTGATATCAAAAGTCAAGTTTGTCCAACGAAATGGGACAATCCATTCCATCTAACGGTTTTGCAAATCAGTTTCCCAATTCTTTCATGGCTCTAAGCTTGAATATACCTATACACCATTAATATAGAATATGATGAGTGGGTCTCACACTGGGAACGCACACGTAATATATATATATAATGCCTTCTCCCTATTACTAAACGTCCCCCTCCTCACCCAGACAATAAACACCTGGAGTAGTTCTATAACAGTATTATTACGTTGTCGTTATTTAGTATTAGGGTGAGACGCTTCTTCCTAACAACAAAAGCAAGACAGTGATTGAAAAAACATGAAACAACTAAAATGTTCAATTTCAAAATTCAATCAAACTCCTTACTAAAATTAACCTATGTAAGATATGGCCAACAAATTGATTTCGAAGGTTTTCCCTAATAGTCAAATCAAAACATTAATATTAAACAAAAACAAACATGTTCGATTTCAAGTTCGATCAAACCCCTTATTGAAATCTATTCTTTAAAACATGCCAAAAATTGGATTTTGATGTTTTCCTCTAATGATTAAATCAACACTTTATTTAAAACATATTATTAAAACAAGTTTTTTTTCCACTTCAAAGTGCGGACCTCACCCCCAAGGTGATATAATTAGTTTTTATTAAAATGTTAGAGGTGAAACCCTGAAATGGGACCTTGATTTTTTGATGCCTTTCTAAAGGGAATCAATTACAAATCAGATTGATCTATTTTTTCGAAAAACAATGACAATCTGGAGTAGTTTCTCTTCGTTGGTGTGTGTTTAGTGAAAGGAAGAGAGATCTATGGAAAAGGCTTGTGAGGCTCTGAGCTCCACGTTTCACTAGAAATCCTGAAGCAAAAGTGGTGTAGTATTGGATCTATGTAAAGGTCATATGTATAAATATATATATATATGGTTATATATATATACACATGGCCATATATCATCATATTATCCATGTAAGGGTGGTATTGAATATTGTAGGGGAAAGGAATAGAATAGCCATTGAGTATCATTGAGTGATAGCCGTGATAGCCAATGATCAGGATCTCATTGCATCTGACAGTCTGACAATGATTGCCATGAGTTGAGATTAATGATTCCCAAGAAATACCTTTGATCCAAGTGAAATACAGAGGAACCCAAGAAATGAAGTGTCTATTATTTCTGAAATCGCCTGAATTTAAAACGGATCAATCGTGCGCATATCTGTACTATTCCATACACATACAGACATATCTCCATGCATAAAGGAACAAGGACCAGAACTAAGAAATCCCAGGGCGAATGGGTGTTTTTCCAGGCATGCGGTAGTGCCGTTTTATGCCGTCGCCAGCATCCGATTTTAGCTTTCCTAGCGCGACTTTAGCTTGGACAAGGTCCAAACTTTGGCAGAGGTATGGTGCCCCTTTTGTGCCCTGACCCTGAAGAATGGACTTGTCATAGTGTGCCTAACTGATGATGGTGCTGGTTTAGCTCAAGGATTAGTGTTTGCTATCTATATATATAATTTGCATACTTCGGCGCTTGTGTTTAAAAAAATCATCGTTGGGGCAGCCAGTTGGTGTGCCTTTTTTTTTTGGATACGGGATGCCTCAGCTGTCCCCATCCACCTATTGAAATACCCATGAACCATCCAGGAAAAGGGCAATTTATAATGACATCATTGCCATGTCACCATAGATTCCATAGATTATGATGAAAACTAGTCAGTTTAAAGAGGAAATCATCCCACAAGAATGGGCACTTTTTAGCAGTGAGATCCAGTATCCATATGTATCCATCATCAAAAGGCCGTGGTTAGACCCACATCGGTACTTCCCTGTGGCAGCATGAACCCTTCGGCAAAGGTCTGGCTCGATGCCGTGCGGTAAAATCATCTGGTCCGTTGACGGTAAAATCATGTGATTTCCACTGACAGAAAAATGTGTTGACTATCTGGAAATTTTCAAATCAATAAATAAGATGTAAGATTTCTTGCAGTACAGACCTCCTATACAATCCTAAATTACATCAACTACTGTTCGAAATATTTGGCAGCATTGTTGTTGATCTACTCCAGGTCGCATCCGACTCGCTTTCCTTCTTTTAACCAAGATACCAAGGGTGGAAGTCTGCCCTAACAGTCCTAACATTAGCCCATGGCCCATGGAAGGGGAAAAAAATCCGAGGCTGAAGCAAGTTGGGGTTCTTCAATGACCCGGCGCCATTAGTACTTGCGGGTCACCTCTACTGCTTTTCTTAAGAAACTATCTTACTCATTTGGGGATTTTGTATATTTTGTAGAAACAAATCAGGAAATTCTTAGCAACTGTTAGTTTAAAGAATTTTGATCTGGTTGGTGCTTTGGAACATGTTTCATATTTTTCCATATATTGGGAACAATAGTCCCATTTGACGAACTCATATTTTTCAGAGGGGTAGATATACCACCAACATCCACCAACCAGTGATCCATTGTGGACAGGTTATTTTGGACACACCCGATACTATCGGATGACCTTTATTCAGAGGCCATGCTGGACAGCGGCTAGATCTTGCAGCAGACATGGCATACTTCAGGCAATCTTCAATGGATGGACTTAAACCACAACTTTAGAGGAAACTATGAGTTTTTTAAACAATGTTTTAACTTAACTATCAATACTGATAGAGGTGTCCCGCAATTCCCTCCCATATTCAACCAATTCTAGAGGATTTGGAAAGCTCTGGGATCCAATGTCACCCAAGATACGAAGCAGGGACCAGAATCCATCGTATTAGGAGTGGCTTGTGGTAGACCATTGACACGCATTGCCGCTATTTCTTTGAGTAAAATGTCCTATGTTGAATCCCCAAAATGCATATCGTAGTAGGACGAATTATGATAAACCATCGGGTTTTAGGGGGTACCTCATGACAGGACAAATTCATTATCGTTTTATTCCATCATATTTTCTCTTACCATCTTGCAGACTGCAGGGGAGGTATGTGGGGAGGTATGCGGAGAGAGATGGGATGCCCCCCCAAATCATTTGGTGGTTGATGTCATGTTTTTCTCACACATGTTTCACCAGCAAGAACCACTCTTGATCTGTATTTCCAGGGAAGCACACTGCCGCAGGTTTATGCACCCAACGTAAATACTCTAGTGATTCGGGTGGCCCATGGTTTACCTACAATTTTCATCAGTTTTCAGGGCTCAGAAAACACGAGTATCCTGCCAAATTTCGGCATTGCCACAAGTTATGCCTTGCTGAAGTGCAAGTCACTGTGCTCCAGGCCCAGACAACAATCGGAACTGTTGAGCTCCGAAAATTGCAGAATCGTAGGCTAGGGCTGCTGAGCGCGGCAAAATGCGCCAAAACCCTGTGGTGTGGAGCTGGTCCAAAGATTCCAAAGACAAGGCCCAGAAAAATCAGAAAAGGTCCAATCTGGTGTACCAAAATGGAGAGAAGCCCACATTCATTGGGCCTTTTTGGTTGAGAAAACCTGGAGAAATTCATAGGGCCCTTAACGAAGATGATATCGCCGCCGACACGGCAGGTGTTGGGTTTGTAGCTATGGCATGCCACGGCTAAACCTTGGTGGTGATGGTTGATGTAGTGGAAATTGGATGAAATTGGGCCAAGTCTTATCACATCTTGTACTAAAAATATGTTTTCAATCTATATCCATATCCATTATCATATCCATATCAATATTTTCCGTATATTATATCCAGATTTAGTTTTATATCATATATGGATATGGATTGAAAACATGGAAAACATGGAAAATATATCGAAAATATATCGAACATATATGGAAATTATGTTCCATTTTATATCCATATATTCCAGATATTCCATATCAATGCACCCATCACCATCCTTGCGATTCGTGGCAGGCGAAAACAGCCTGGAAGGATGGTCAACTGGGTCAACTGGGTCAACTGGGTCAACTCCCAACCAGGTGAGGCCCAAGTTATGTTCGTTGGGTTTAATGAAGCTTAGTCGAATTATATAAGTATATTATAGTATATGTATATACCATAATATACCATATAAAATGCTATATTATGGTATAAAAAATTGTTCTAAGTTGGTTTTTAAAGCCCATGAAGCTAAAAGTTGTCAAAACTTTTTTCATGGTATTTCCCTTGAAAAACCATAGACTTCACCAAGTAGAACGTGCGTCAATTTAGCTATCGTGCCGGCCTCGCCTTGTAGATTTGGTGGTTAAATACTGAGATTTTGTCAAGGTAAATCAGCTTATAATTGTGTCGCTTAAATTTCACAGACAATTATTCGGATTTAACAATAAGTTTTATAGATGTTTAATGATTACAGATACCAAGATATGTTTGATAAATAATGAGTTGACGGGCTAAGATAGAGGCGGATATAATATATATATATGAGATTTATTGGATATTATAATATTATGTATATATATATATGTATGTATAATAAGTGACCCATAATAGGGATGACTACTTTCCAACAAGTACTATATAGGATGAGATAGGGGTATGATTGACTGGGGAAACGTTGGATGGGTAGATTGATTTGTCATTTTTTTGCCATAGATAAGAATGGACATCCCCTGAGATGGAATGGTTGATAAGTTTTTTCAAATTAGGACCCTAGCCTAAAATAGCATTTTTTTCGCCATAAAGTGGTGATATATTGGGGAACAACCAAGATATTCTGTGGGACGGGACAACCAACAAAATGGGTGTGTCTGAAAATGGGGTATTTCGCCATCACAATGGGGCTAGATTGGGATTTATATAGAGCGGGGATACACAACCAATCGAACATGATTTGGCCGTGTGTGAAAAGATGTGTGTAGCCCAAAATTGGAATGTTAGTACGTACATGTACGTACATAGCATTATCTATACGATGATGATGATTGCTGGATTTAAGGGTAGCGTATTTTCCAACACACCCATTAATATTGACTGGCACAACTTTGAATGGGTTCCTGCAGAATTCAATCTTTTGCAGAAAAAATGTATTATAACCAGCCAAAAACTTGTCTTACAGGGAAACTCAGATGGACAATCTTATTGACTGTGAATTTAGAGTTTGTTTGGTTCACCATTGGCTCTGATGAGGGTATCATCAACTATGATGAGTTATTATGAGTATTATAACATATTATATCTATTTGAGTAGCTGTCAATATTGGGCATCATGGCAGTTGGGGTTTAGTGGAATTGCTTCGTTGGTTGGGTATGTTAGAATATTAGATTCTTATCAATGGAACTTTTTCATACGGCGAGGCCCTGGTTGCATTCATGACCTCAATGGCGACGGTGAATCGTTGGCGCCAGATGTGTCCGGAGAATTCAGACTTCAATCATAGCAGACCAGTCCAAGTGTATACATGGTGGTGAATTATATAAATACAGACCAGATCTGACAAAGATCTGGCGACATACCAATTTCCACAATAAATCTATCGGAATCAGCTTCACTGATTCCACCTTTGGGTTATCTTGCATACTTCTTGCATTTGCATTTATGTTATTTTATGTTCTTATATATCCCTATAGTGTTCAATGCATTGTTTACAGAACCTGTCAATTTAGAGCTAAGTTTCTGCCATCTCTTCCCCGATTCTTTGGTTCAAACTGATTCTTCGAATCCCAACGGATCAGCAGGCTTTCACCTTTATTTTATGTCGGATGGAATCCAGTAGTTGAGTCCAGTTGAGTCCGGTCAGGCTTACGCTATCTTGGAAATGTCTCCGTTTTGTGCCATGAGTGTGGCGGCTCAGTTTAAATTAGAGAAGAAAAAAACGGCAGAAACTCATGGACTCTCATGAGCGCACCAACAGGGGGGATGTGATCCACAAACATGGGGCTAGATCATGACATAGCCCTGTATGTGGGTTTGATTGAAGAAAATAGTGTACCCAAAGATGTAATGGTTACTCATCATTTTCCCGTTTACAAAATTGCCATTTTGGGGAACTGTACACCAACATCATCAGGTATCATCACTTTGTTGTGGTTTCATAGAGATCCACCCCTCTAAAAGGCTCCTCTTACAGAGTAAACCTTGGTTAGATAGGTTGTTCATATTTTAGGCACAAATTTCTTAGTATCCTTGTGGGCCCGTGCCAAAGGTTCCCCCCCAACTAGTAGGTTTTTTTTGTTTCACCCTTCTTGAGCCTTATTGAGCCTTGTTGATGGTAAATAAATGTATATAACCTCTAATAAACCATTGTTTTAGAGGAATGCCTCTGAATCCTAGGAAAACGCGCGAACAAAACAAACCCACCTGGCGGTTTTTTCTATGACCATTTTGTGGTTGAGCATTTCAGGTGCTGACCTCAAATAAGGGAAGACGAAACAGCATCAAGACGCTGTTCACTCATCTTGGATGTACATCCCAGTTACTGTAGTTACTGCTTCATAAATTAATTGGAGTTTTTGTCAGATGTAGCTGAGTTTTGAACCTCTTCTGCACCTTTCTCTGTGGGATGCAGCTCTAAGACTCCAAGGTTTATGTGTGCAGCTGGCTTCGAATCATTCACTGTATTATTCTGCCACATTGGCGTGTATTTCAACATGTTTCTCCAGAAAATTGCGGTTTCAAGCATGGCCAGAGCAGCTACATTCCGCAAAGCTAATCTTTGACCAGACAAGCTTAATTTGCAATAATTCTCTATTTTTTTTACAGATATACACACCCATACTAGTAGGATCCATGTATATGGTATATATGCTAACATGTGGGGTATATTGATGGTAAATGTTACCATATATAGCAGCACCATGGATCCTATGGGACATTTATTTGAAAGCAATTTAGAGACCCAACTGTCTACATCCTGCGTTTGCACCGGTAGGTCCGTGAATCCGGCTGAGTCTGAGTGGTCCGCAGCATTCGCGGCTCAAACAGCGAAGATTTTGGCCCTCCCGGTTTCGGCCAAGTGTTTCATTTCCAGTTTCAATTGAAAATTTCAATTATGTTCATGCTCCGTTTCTGAGTTGCAAGGATGGGGAGAATGGCTTACTTAATCTTATTTATTTGGTGATCTGTGGAAGGGATTGGGTTACAATGTTATAGAATGGGCTAGCGCCCGGGTGCCGCCGACCCCCCCTATTTGGGGGGTCCTGCAGAGAGAGGGAGAGAGATAGATGGATGGATGGATGGATGGATGGATGGATAGATAGGTAGAGAGATAGAGAGAGAGAGAGAGATAGACAGATAGATAGATAGACAGTTGGATAGACAGATAGGTAGATGGAGAGATAGATGGATAGATAGCTGGATGGATAGATAGATGGATAGATAGATAGAGAGGGAGAGATAGATAGAGGGGGAGAGAAAGATAGAGAGGGAGAGATAGATATATGGAGGGAGAGAAAGATAGAGAGGGAGAGATAGATATATGGAGGGAGAGATAGATACTCCGACGGCATCCGACGGCATCAGCGGTTCAGTGGGTCAGTGGCGCGTCGCTTCCGGCGGGCCGTGCTGAGGTCGATGGTGTGTTGGGGGTATCAAAAATATACAAAAAAATGGGTGATGGGGGTTGGTGGGGAAATATGCCCAAACTATGTCCAAAATTGGGAGTTACCCTTCTGATTTAAGGTAGCTATAGGTATGGATGGCACATTTGTAGATGATCAACATGATGATTTACCACGATTTACAATGATTTACCTATTCAACATGGTGGTGGTCCATAGCTTCGCTACGTTCAATAGCCAGAGGGTAGACATTGTGATGATGGTGGGGAATTTCGTCGGAGCAACTGCGGATTTGGCCAACGGAAGCCATCATGGACCATTGCGTTCGATGATGTACCGATCAGACTTGGTGATTTCCATTGCTATGTTAGTTTGCTAGGGAGTACTTAGAGCCAACAACATTGAGGATTGGGTTTGATCTCCAACCAGGGTTGGATGGGCTACAGACGCGGGAAATGGAACACGATACTTACTTGAGATTGTTGGCTGGGTTTGGCCGGCCGATGCCGTCGGAGAGGCCCGTCAAGAAATGACGCAGATTTGGAACGAGTTGCCGGCGTGCATCTTGGTCCGGTTCAAGACCAAGACCACCTGGCGTGTCGAGGGGATTGACGAAGACAACGTGTTTCCCGTCGCGCCGCAAAAGAAACCGTGGTATTTGGACAAGGGGCGAAGGCGGCCAGTTCTCCGTGTGACGCGGAAGCAGTTTCCATTGGCTCCAGGGTTTGCAACCACCGCTCATGCAGCCCAAGGGCAAACTTGCAAAGAAGGCGTTGTCATGGACATGCACATTGGGGAAGCAGGCGACCCATTGACAGCTTACATTGCGTTAACGCGGGTCCAAGACAGGCATGGTTTGTTTGTGTACAGACCGTTCCCTGCAGCACCGTTTCAAAAAGGCGCAAAAGTAGGGCGGGAATTGCTGTTGCGGTTCTGGGGTGGTGAAAAAATGGATTGGAGCGCGCTGCGAGCGAAATACCGAGACGAAAGAGAATGCAAAGAATGCAATGAATCAAAGCCGGCTTCTGCATTCACGGCTGGTCGATGGAAACGCCAAGATGCGGCGAGAGTATGCAAAGAATGCAGTCGTCGGCACGTTGAGACGCAGATGCCGTGGCAATGCATGGCATGCACGGCCTGGAAACAGGAAGATGCATTCAAGGCAAAACATGCAAGCCCACAAGTCACATTCTATCGTATTTGTGCGACGTGCGAACAGACGCAACTGTGTCGTGTCTGCAATACGCGCAAGGACGAAATGAAATTTTCTGCCGCCATGTGGAAACGGGCGCGCAACGGCGGCAGAGTGTGCTTGGCTTGTTCGGAGAAGGCATGGGGCTGGTCGAGATGCAGCATATGCCACGTCAAGCAAGCAGCGTTCGCTTTCAAACCGTGGCTGGCGCAACATCGTGCTTGCAATGGTGACCAAGTCTGTAACCACTGCTGGAATTGCCCCATTCCCCGGGGGAGCATCAGCAAAGCAGTACAGCGGGTAGCTGCAACGCAGGCGAAAGTCGCGAGGAGGGCAGCGGAAGAAAAAGCGGCACGTGCCCTTGCCGATGTCTGGGATGCCATCGCGAAACGAAAACGCAACAGAGAACAGGAGAGCTCCCAAATGAAGGACGCAGAGCCGAAGGCAAAACATCCCAAACAAGAGAACCGAACAGAAACGAGCAAACACGGGCCTGAAGATGTACGTGGCCAACGGGAAAACAGCGACGGAAGGCAGAGGGCAGTGCGGGCGACGACTGATGTCGCGGCTGCCAGCGTGGAACGAAAAAGGAAAACAGAACAGGACACCGCCCAAATGCAGGAAGCCCCGCCGGACGCAAAGCAACGTAGAGAAGACGGCGGAACAGAAAGAAGCACAGACAGGCAGGCAGAAATGAGCTGCAAGCAGCAGAGCAAGGGCAGTGCGACGGAGACGTCGGGGGAAGGCAAGAGTTTCCAATATGTTTGTCCCGCTTGCCAAAAGTCTGTGAGGAGCAGTATACGCACGGGCCAAGTAGATCACCGGCGCGCATGTGGTAACCGTTTCCAGGTGTGGGATGCGCAGGTCGTTGCGAAAGGATATGTGTATATTTGCCCTGCTTGCAAAGGGAATGTGTCTAGTGACGTCAAGACAGGGCAAATAGACCATCGAACGGTCTGTGGGAAGCAGTTTTCTGTCAAGGACGGCGTTGTGCAGGAAAAAGCGTATGTTTACATTTGCCCCGCTTGCAAAGGGAATGTGGCCAGTGACGTCAAGACAGGGAAAATAAACCATCGAACGGTCTGTGGGAACCAGTTTTCTGTAAAGGACGGCGTTGTGCAGGAAAAAGCGTATGTTTACATTTGCCCCGCTTGCAAAGGGAATGTGGCCAGTGACGTCAAGACAGGGCAAATAGACCATCGAACGGTCTGTGGGAACCAGTTTTCTGTGAGGGACCGCGTTGTGAAGGAGAAAGCGTATGTTTACATTTGCCCCGCTTGCAAAGGGAATGTGGCCAGTGACGTGAAGACAGGGCAAGTAGACCATCGAAGGGTCTGTGGGAAGCAGTTTTCTGTCAAGGACGGCGTTGTGAAAGAGAAAGGTGGTAAACGGCAAGCTGGAACGCCGAGAAGAAGCTATTGATCTGGCTTTGGGGTATCGTTTGAATTGTGTAAATGCTGGCAAACGGCAACCTTGGACGCCTAAGAGAATTGATGTGTGGCCTTGGGGTGCCTGTTGGCTGCAGGATGAAGCATGCCAAGGGATTGTTTAAGCGGCCCACAAGAAGCCATTGATGTGTGGCCTTGGGGTGCCTGTTGGCTGCAGGATGAAGCATGCCAAGTAGGCGTTTTAAGGGTTTTAAGGTTTTTAAGGGTTTGGAGGGTTTTAAGGGTTTAAGGGCTGGCAAACGGCAGGCTTGGACGCCCATAAGAAGCCATTGATGTGTGGCCTTGGGGTGCCTGTTGGCTGCAGGATGAAGCATGCCAAGGGATTGTTATGCAAAGAGATTGTTTAAGCGGCCCATAAGAAGCCATTGATGTGTGGCCTTGGGGTGCCTGTTGGCTGCAGGATGAAGCATGCCAAGGGATTGTTATGCAAAGGGATTGTTTAAGCGGCCCATAAGAAGCCATTGATGTGTGGCCTTGGGGTGGCTGTTGGCTGCAGGATGAAGCATGCCAAGACAGTTTTAAGGGTGAAGCATGCCAAGGGATTGTTTAAGCGGCCCATAAGAAGCCATTGATGTGTGGCCTCGGGGTGGCTGTTGGCTGCAGGATGAAGCATGCCAAGTCAGCGTTTTAAGGGTTTTAAGGGTTTTAAGGGGTTGGAGGGTTTGGAGGGTTTTAAGGGTTTAAGGGCTGGCAAACGGCAGGCTTGGACGCCCATAAGAAGCCATTGATGTGTGGCCTTGGGGGGCCTGTTGGCTGCAGGATGAAGCATGCCAAGGGATTGTTTAAGCGGCCCATAAGAAGCCATTGATGTGTGGCCTCGGGGTGGCTGTTGGCTGCAGGATGAAGCATGCCAAGTCAGCGTTTTAAGCGTTTTAAGGGTTTTAAGGTTTTTAAGGGTTTGGAGCGTTTTAAGGGTTTAAGGGCTGGCAAACGGCAGGCTTGGACGCCCATAAGAAGCCATTGATGTGTGGCCTTGGGGTGCCTGTTGGCTGCAGGATGAAGCATGCCAAGGGATTGTTATGCAAAGGGATTGTTTACGCGGCCCATAAGAAGCCATTGATGTGTGGCCTTGGGGTGCCTGTTGGCTGCAGGATGAAGCATGCCAAGGGATTGTTATGCAAAGGGATTGTTTAAGCGGCCCATAAGAAGCCATTGATGTGTGGCCTTGGGGTGGCTGTTGGCTGCAGGATGCATGCCAAGTAAGGGTTTTAAGGTTTTTAAGGGTTTGGAGGGTTTTAAGGGTTTAAGGGCTGGCAAACGGCAGGCTTGGACGCCCATTAGAAGGCATTGATGTGTGGCCTTGTGGTGCCTGTTGGCTGCAGGATGAAGCATGCCAAGGGATTGTTATGCAAAGGGATTGTTTAAGCGGCCCATAAGAAGCCATTGACGTGTGGCCTTGGGGTGGCTGTTGGCTGCAGGATGAAGCATGCCAAGACAGTTTTAAGGGTGAAGCATGCCAAGGGATTGTTTAAGCGGCCCATAAGAAGCCATTGATGTGTGGCCTCGGGGTGGCTGTTGGCTGCAGAATGAAGCATGCCAAGTCAGCGTTTTAAGGGTTTTAAGGTTTTTAAGGTTTTTAAGGGTTTGGAGGGTTTGGAGGGTTTAAGGGCTGGCAAACGGCAGGCTTGGACGCCCATAAGAAGCGATTGATGTGTGGCCTTGGGGTGCCTGTTGGCTGCAGGATGAAGCATGCCAAGGGATTGTTTAAGCGGCCCATAAGAAGCCACGGATGTGTGGCCTCGGGGTGGCTGTTGGCTGCAGGATGAAGCATGCCAAGTCAGCGTTGTAAGGAAAGCATGTAATTTTCATGTCCAAATGCCTGGAAGTCTTAACTGGAGGACGAAGCATGCCAGGAAAATGTTTACGCGATGTGGCCTTGGGGCAGCTTGCTGGCTGCGAGATGGGTTTGACCTTGGAAAGCGAAGAAGGAGAAGTTCCACACCTGCGGTGGTCCCAGGCGCCGCCCCTGCCTTGGCCAAGGCCGGCGTCGGCGGACAATGTGGGGGGTGTAGAAGCTCTTTCGGACTTGGAAGGATCGTTGTGTCGGTTTGAGTAGCCAACCTGTCATTCATCATGGGGTCCATGCAGGACTCTGATGTCCAAACCCAAACGTTCGGAATTGGCTTGTTCAAAGGGTCTTTTAGGTTGGCCATATTGTGCATGACAACCCCAAATGGATTTGCCCTTAAAATTGCGTATCTTCAATCCACTTGATTATCATTCCGCATGAAAATTAAAATTGCCATGAAGTTAAGATACTACATAGTTTAATCAGTTTTATAAGTATACTCCATTTCTTGGACAGGACCAAATAGTTCTTTCAGATCTCTTTGCAACCCGCTAACGATAAGACAAAAAAACATTGGGTCAAACTAAACCCCATTAATTTGTTCGTGCAAACATGGGGCGGATTTGGGGTATACCGGGTATACCCCCAATTCATGGCATCACAAGTGTGGAAAAGGATGATCATCGAGTGGATTTGTGTAGTAAATATTCAATTTATCAGACAAATCCTGAAAGGTAAATCATGTTGTTCGTTAATTCTATACGTACCCACATAATATCATATAATATCCCCAAAACCAGACTGGTTGGTTTGATGGCCACATCACTGTCTTGCTCAAAATTCTGGCATTCTCTAAACCAGTACTGTTGGTGATATTCCCATTTAATCATAGTTAATCATAGTTCATCCCGATCGTATCCCCATAGTTTTCCCAACTCAAAACCTACCTTGAACACGACGAAGCCTCGAAGCTTCGTTCAGCTTCGTTCAACGCTAAGGTTGTGGACTGGTATTAATCCTCCAGGCGCTCCTGCAACCTGCACATGGCTACGCATGGATGGCAAAGATTAAGGCACCCTGCACCGACTCAAAAGGAGCTGAGATGGAAAGTTGTCCAAAGATCTTTAAAGATAAATAAATAGATATATATCTAAGAAACAACATATAATATACATATTTATATGGATTCTATTATATATATATTATATATATATGCATATAAAAAAGAAACATACAATACTATTGTTTAAAGATCTTTATAACGCACATTGATTTCATCCCCGCCATGGTTGATATCAACTGGGGATATACCTTGTTTTCCCATCAGAGGATGGTCATCAATCCGGGAATATATTTTTTATTGGGAAAGAACATACCCATATACCCATGATATACCCATGATCTATGGCATGGATGACCATAATATCCTATAATATCCATAAGTCACCAGCATGTGTTGACCATGGCACATGTTTTTTCGCATCCGCGGTTCATATTAGACACCCCGAAACCCATGGTTTTGGGGAATGTTTAGGGGATGAAGTATAACGACCTCACTGGGAAGGCTCTGGAATGATGGTAGGGGTATCTGTATGAGACGGTGAGCCATTTCAAAGGGGTGATTTATATTTGCTCACAATAGTACAAACGAGAACATGTTGGGTTCACAGTACATGTATCCATAGGTTTACACACCAAGATTGTGCTCCACCCGGAAAGACATCCGATGCAACCAGCAAACGTGGCATCAAGAAACTACCAAAATCTAAGAGTTTCATTAAATCTACACTGATGGGCCTGCGAGTAATGAATATTCGGGCCTACAATCAGGTCGTTTATTCTCCGAATTTCGACTGCAGGAAGAACGGTAGCTGCACGAAGGCAGCATGGTGTGTCCCCTTGATTCTAGGGAATCCCAGTGGCTTGGGGTCGACGTGACGACCTGAGGCACCATCCTTGATGAACTTGCGCAAGATGCAGAAGGGTTCCAAGTTTGGGGACAAAAAGATGCTTGTTTTTGAGAGAGAGAGGGAGAGAGAGATGGCGCTGGGTTTAAAACCTTTTTTTTTGGTTTTCGAAACACAAAATGGGGCGGATTTTGAAGATGCTCATCCCCTCCAAGAAATGATCCCCAAATAGCTGTGTTTCAGCTTTGGGACGGTGGATTTCCCCATGGGGAACCTCAATCGTACAAAGCAAAGATGTTTTGCAGGCTCAAAGTTCGAACTCTTCGAACTCTGACCATATGACTTCAGAGGGGTACAGAAGACCTACTATCATTTGTGATCATTTCTAACGGTCTAAGATTACGAAACTACTGGGCCCTTGCTACATCCTACTCGCACCTATGGTGTCAAAAGTCCAACTGTGGAGACTCCGTTTGCCGGCAGCGGAATCCATCATGGTTGGCTACCCAACTGTTATACCTCTTATAGTTTTTGATGGGTTTCTCTAAAAATGATGGTGGCATAACCCAGAATTCGTACCATAATTCATAGATATTGAATGATATTTATTGCCTATTTTCGGGGCAAAGTTTCAAACTTATCATTTCTTGGCCGCATGAAGATGTGAAAAAAAGACAACTGCTTCCACCGATGCGAGAAATCTTAAAGACTTAGCTTGCTCTGTGGTGCTTCCAAATGATGGCAAGTGTATAAGTGTGGCATTGAAGTAGATAAAGAATTTTGGGGCTCCAGTGGAGGAAGGCCCAGTCGACCCTGCTTGTTGGTGCAAACATATGCAAACATCTTTATTCGGAACTTAGGAACAAAATCAACCCAAAGTGGAGATGTTAACATATGTACACATATCTTACATAACCTTGAAAACTGAGGATATTCCACCACTTCATTTTGTTTGGGATGGACATTTTCCAATGGTTTCCAGGGGCGCCAACAAGTGCCCCATCTCCCTATTTGCTATTCAAATGTTGCTTCATCCCGAAAAAAATCAGGTGCTTACAGCAGAAATGCTTGAAGATTTTCAGTTTTGTTTCCTCCAAAATCGACATAAATCCACAGTTGATGGTGTTTTCTGGCCGCTGCCCCCCTGTTCCCATCAACCCCCAACGGGGGTTTTCCGTTTTTCTCAGGATTGTGGTCATTACCGGAACGAGTTCCGGTCTCGGCAAAGCTGCCACGAAAGCCCTGCTTCGTGCAGGTTGGGAACAACCGGTCAGGATAGAATGAGATAAATGAGATAGTGATTTAATGGGATTTAATGGTGATTTAATGGGATTTAATGGTGATTTAATGTGATTTAATGGAAATACCCTCTGGTAAACTAACATAGCTATGGAACATCACCATGTTTAATGGGAAAATCCACTATAAATGGGCCATTTTCCATAGCTATGGCAGCTATGTTAAATTACCAGAGGGTAAATGAGATAATAAACTCAACAAACCAAGAATAATGTTGGAATCAATAATCAACTAATCAGAGATCTTGTTTTTTGACATGATGGGATAGAAAACCAACATACTAACAATATGGTCATATATTGGCACCAACATGGCAGATCGTTCATAAATGTTCATAATGGTTTATGTCAGAAAATACAATGAAATATCCTGATTTTGATCACTAGTGAACGCATTTTCATATTCCTACCTTTGTCTTGTTTTTTCTTTGTAGCCAGGGATCAGCATTGCATATACTCTACAAACATCCGCTGTGCCCCAACCGCATTCGACAGTCAATGTGCTTGCCACAACTGAACTGTGGGCTTTCTCGGGGGTGTCCACAGCAAGAGGTTAGCCTGTGGTCTGAATTCTTGAAATACTCCGCATATGGACGTTTTCTGTGGCCCAAACAAATGAATTACTAAATAATTACACGGGGATGTAAATGAACCAGCGAAGAAATATTTGTTGATGGATTTGTTGATGGATTTGTTGATGGATTTGCAATGTTTTTGTTGGTGGAACATTATTGAACCCTGCTTTTGTTGGTCAATTGGGTTTGTTGGTTGAAACCACTGAATTGACATGTTTGTTTTTTTGTTCTTTAAATTAGTTTTGCAAACTCGTGTTGATTTCGAAGGCACATTTACGTTTTACAAACATATACATTTCATTGCCTTTCACGTGATTGTCACTTTTTTTGTGTGTTGTTTTTGTTCTTCCCAAACTGTGGATCCATTTGGTCCCACGCCACGTGCCACCGTTCACGTTGACGTCAGGGGATTATCACGTGGTGGGTGCCGTACGTGACCTCGAGAAGATGAAGATCGTGGCAGAGCTCGAGGGTTTCGACATGGATCGTTTCACTCCCATGTGCGCCGAGCAGCGGAGCGGAGCGGAGCTTGCTCCGATGGATGGAAGGAGTTCAAGATGATAAAAAACCGTGAGAAAATGTGGGTGTTTCTAATATGGAATGGATATGGTTTTGGATATGGTTTTGTTGCAGTTTTAGCATCCTGAAATGGGGAAATATCGCCAAAACGGATATAACATGATATAACACCTTTTAACATAAGTTGCATGGTCAAGTTTTATGGGTTTGCAGTTCAACTGGATGGCAATCCTCCCATATGTCAGTGTCAATAGAAAAACCAGACCATGTTTCCCTGGTGTTTTTGGAGTTAGATTGGATTTACCACATGGAGTTTCTTGGGGGGATCCCCAAGTCACCATTGGTTTCAATGTGTTTCAATACTTAAATGGTCGATTTTGGATGTTTTTTTTTGGTTGTTGAAGGAAACCGCCACGTAGCCCACTAGATGTTTTTTGGTGCCGGAGATCGACAGCCGCCACGCAGAAAGGTGATCACAAAACACCAGCTGACCAACACAATTATGAGGATACTATAGTAGTGATGGAGGTATATTCAAAGCGTTTTATAGGGATATCATGATAAATACTATACATATCTATACATGATATGACCAACAATATGATGAGTTTGCCAGAATCAAGGAAACCTCAACTTTTAAGTTTATGAACAATTGAGTATTCCATGAAATTTTGAAATTCACCAAGTACTCCATGTGACAGATGGAGACAATCAATATCAACTAGCCATGTGACATGCACCCTGCACTGTGAAGAACTCAGAATTGGAGGATCATCGCTCGCGATGATCGTGATGTTTGTTCCTTGAAAGCATGTCAGATGTTTTTTTCCAATACTTTGATAGGTGATTTGTCCAATTTATTCCTTGCTACTTGGTTCGATGTGTTCCGTATGAAAGCATTGTGATTGAAGAATTGGAACCTGGGCCTACGTTACGTTCCTGCCACATTCCTGGGAACGTGGATAGATTAGCGACCCGACTCGATCTGGGTCAAAAACAAGTATGATGTGCATTGCAATGTGCCTCAATTATACAGTATACTATTACAAAAACATATACACATACATGTTGGAAAATACCCTCCGCTAATCAAACATAGCAATGGAAAATCCGGCAGGTACTTGGACCTCGCAAGCTTTGAGACTTGGCTTGCCACAGAAACCGATGGAAAACTGGCGACGGTTTTGCCACGAAACCATGGGGGGTTTAACCCAGGAAAACGATGGGAAACATATCCAACAATCCCAAGGATGTGGGTTTGAAGAATGTTGAAGATGTGTGATTTCCCTGAAATTCAGCAAGCAGAACCTCTCCAAAACGCCGTTCACGTCAGTATCCCTTTGAATCAGCACACCCACTGGGATGATCCGAGAAATAATATGCCTACATAATGTATATATATATTACTATATATATATATATATGTATATGGTCCATATAATATATCCTATACCTATATGTATAAAATATACACATACAATCATATACACATGTAGGCTAGATAGGGAATCCCCAAATAGATAGAACACCATGTAGATTTCTTCGCCTATTTTGATGAGTTGATTTGTTCATGGATCATCCCAGCATGCTAAGATGTGTCCACGGGTTGATATCCGAAGTCTTGGTTCTGGTCCACGAAAAATCCCTATCCCCAGAATTTGGGTAGCAAAAGAACAGAAAGCAACTATAGATTCAATCAAGACCCTAGATGATCAGTACAGTATCACCATTGTCGCTGCTTATAATCCCATTTTCTTATATGGGTGCTCAAAATTCTTGGGCCCCCAGCCAGGGAGTCGTTGAATCTTAAACATGACCAATGCTGTCCCACAGCCACAGGACATCATTGAAATATTATTCTGGTTGGTGGTTAGGAACATTTTTTTATTTTCCATATATTGGGAATAATCATCCCAACTGACTGATATTGTTCAGAGGGGTTGAAACCACCAACCAGTATTTATTTGATGGTCAATATCCCAAGTTTTACTGCTTATCCATTTTTTTACCCACCTTGGATGTCAAAAAGACATGCAAGCTTTGCATATGTCAAGCCATTTGCGGAAACCACATTTGCAAAAAACACATCCGAAGCGAACCTTGCGACGAAAACACCTCCTACCATTTTGTGCTGCATATTTCAAGTACTTAACTGATCTTACTTGATTTGATTAAACCAAAATAATATAAACCCATTAATATGTTCCATGTTTCCACCCATCTTCACTTTTTTCGGCACATCCAGTCCCTTTTTTAGAAACACTTTCCCTCCCCAACTCTGCCAAGCTCTGCGGCATGTTGCGCCATGTTTCGCCCCAGGAATCGGTTCACAATTTTGCAAAGGACTTGGACAAGTTCCGAGGGGATCGCCCCGTGGACCGCTTGGTGTGCAACGCCGCGGCAGCTGGGCCGTGGTGGGGTCGGGTCGAGTCCTGGGTTGGAGGGGCCATATATCAGACCCGTGGGGATTTAATGGCCATGGTGAATGGTGAAGAACTTGGGTTCCCAGTTGTTTTCCCTTCGAACCAGCCAACATGTTGAGGTTTCTTGAGGTTTCTTGCTTTCATATCCGATACCACCGGTTGAAGAAAAAATCGGCAGACAGCAACAAAAGTTGACAACTTCTACATGCCCAAGCAGAAGATAGCTGGACAAGGTCGCGGGTCAAAACTTAACCCCAAGCAAACTGTCGGTGGACATCTCAACCACTTTCTCAAATCAACCTTTTGAGACGTTCACCGACAGACCAGAGAGCTTGAGTGGTGTGTGGTGTCAAATCTGGGATTGTGTCATTTGGTACTTTCTTAGTTTTGCTGAAGAGTATTACTTGGCAAAACCCTGATTTTGCATGGGTGAATTAACCATTCAACTAACCTCATCCTGCGGAACAACAATTGCCGCAATCGATCTTCCCAGAATTCTGAGGATGGGTTCTTTAGTTTTCATTGCTTTCCTCTTTTTCAACATGTTCTTGGTCGATTGCCCACAAACCTGTTTGGATTGTATTAACCCTGTTGTTGTTGTTTTTTTTCGAGTTGGGTTGAACGAAGCACCAAGTGAATTGTTGGGACGTGGGGTATGACATGTTTCTCATAAGTTCAACAGTGGCTAAGAATCAATCCACAAAGACTTGCCTTTGGAATGGTTTCTTGACATTTGGATGCATGTGGTGGTTTCCTAAAATAGGGGTACCCCTGAATCATCCATTTTAATAGATGGATTGTCCACGAAATAACCATCCAGCTACTGGGGTAGCCACATTTCATGAAACCTCTAATGATGTTTTCCCTCCTCCCCGTGATCATTCATCTCCCCGCGATCATTCGTTTTTTCACCAGAAGGGAAAGTCATCATGGTGACATGGTGGTTCGTATATCAACCTACCCCGTAAAAACGGAGGTCTATCTATATGACTCATATAGATAGACCTCCGTTTACATGACATTCATCACAGTCCATGGCTGGAGGTATATCAACCTACCCTGAGCTACCCCAAGTGGACCGTGGATGGACACGAACAGCAGCTGCAGATCAACTATTTGAGTCAGTGCCTGGACGTCGAATCCCCCCGAAAACTCTGCTTGTTTCACTGCATTGAGGATCTTGAGGGTTTAGTCAAGTAACACCTATAAGACTGGATGATCAATGGGAATTCCAGGATCCTAAAATGGAGGTACCTACCATATATAAGGCCTATATAAGGGCTATGTAAGGGGATATCCCCCCAAAAGATGGCCTTATATGGTACAGTACCTCCAATTTAGGTTCCTGAAATGGCCATTGAGATGAAACTCGTTGCGATCAAACATGTTGACTTCTTCTCCGACGGCACCCCAGAACTTCACCTACCACCCCGTCGCGTCGCGGAACACGGTCATCCCAGGTTCCTGCTGACCTCGAAAGTGATGCCCATGATGACCGAGTCAGACGACGCACGCGTGTGCATGATTGGATCTGTGACTGGATCCTCAGCTGAAGATGGGGCGCAACTGGTGGTGAGGGGTGGATAGGCCGGTGGTTGGTGAAAGGATCGATTTATTCGTGGTTTTAGACGTGGGAATGGAATAGAATAGCATCATTCCAGTAGGGATCGGGTTCTTTTGAATATCGAACCATGCCTGTTTGACGAACGTTGAGAGCTGACTGTTGGGAATCCAATCCACCAAGCTCCAAACCACTCAGCTGTTGAACCACGTGCTGCAGGGAACCTCATCATCCGGGCGATCTTCGCTATTATTTCCTGATCATTCGCTCTTCTATAAATTAATCTACTCTGGAGACTCTGGTTGATTTGATAGTGATCACCGGCTACTCAAATGGTACCCACCATGTTCAACAGCCCAGGGGGTGATTTTCTGGGGTCGTTTAAATCATCCCAGGGACTCCCAGCACCCCCTGAATTCATCAACATCCCATCGGGCAGGAAATGACAATACTGTGGGTGGAGGTGGAGTTTATCCCATCGCCGACTTAAAGGTCCCTTGGTGCAGCGAGGGGCCGAGGGGCCAAGCACCTGTTTCTGGGAAGATGGACCAGTGAGTGTGTTAGACATAACGGTTTGTATGAAAATATAAGGTGTCCCATAAAATGCCCGGCGTTATTTTTATGCTTGCTACACAATTGCCATTTCAATAGATGATTATATAGATAATTAATGATAATTATACCATATTAATCCATATTAATGATGATTGAATAGATAATTAATGATAATTCTACCATATTAATCCGTATTAATGATGATTATATATATATAATTAATGATAATTCTACCATATTAATCCATATTAATGATGATTATATAGATAATTAATGATAATTCTACCATATTAATCCATATTAATGATGATTATATAGATAATTAATGATAATTCTACCATATTAATCCATATTAATGATGATTATATAGATAATTAATGATAATTCTACCATATTAATCCATATTAATGATGATTATATAGATAATTAATGATAATTCTACCATA